GTGTCTCTATGTCTCTGTGTCTTCTCTGTGTGTGTCTCTGTGTGTGTGTCTCTGTGTCTCTGTGTGTCTCTGTGTGTCTCTGTGTGTCTCTGTGTGTCTCTGTGTGTCTCTGTGTGTGTCTCTGTGTCTGTGTCTCTGTGTGTTTTCTCTCTCTGTGTCTCTGTGTTTCTCTGTGTCTCTGTGTGTCTCTGTGTCTCTCTGTGTCTCTGTGTGTCTCTGTGTGTTTCTCTGTGTCTGTGTTTCTCTGTGTCTCTGTGTGTTCTGTCCCAGGCCTGTGCATCATGTTGTAGCTCACCTGTCTCACCTGTCTCCCCTGTCTCACCTGTCTCACCTATCTCCCCTGTCTCCTCTGTCTCCTCTGTCTCACCTGTCTCCCTGTCTCCTCTGTCTCCCCTGTCTCCCTGTCTCCCTGTCTCCCTGTCTCCTGTCTCCCTGTCTCCCTGTCTCACCTGTCTCCCTGTCTCCCTGTCTCCCCCTGTCTCCTCTGTCTCCCCTGTCTCCCTGTCTCACCTGCTCCTCTGTCTCACCTGTCTCCTCTGTCTCACCTGTCTCCCCTGTCTCCTCTGTCTCACCTGTCTCCTCTGTCTCACCTGTCTCACCTGTCTCCTCTGTCTCCCTGTCTCCTCTGTCTCACCTGTCTCCTCTGTCTCCCCTGTCTCCCCTGTCTCACCTGTCTCACCTGTCTCCTCTGTCTCACCTGTCTCCCCTGTCTCCTCTGTCTCCCCTGTCTCCTCTGTCTCACCTGCCTCCTCTGTCTCCCCTGTCTCCTCTGTCTCACCTGTCTCACCTGTCTCCTCTGTCTCACCTGTCTCACCTGTCTGTCTGTCTTCTGTCTGTCCCTCTGTCTCTTCTGTCTCACCTGTCTCACCTGTCTCACCTGTCCTCTGTCCTCCTCTGTCTCACCTGTCTCCTCTGTCTCCTCTGTCTCACCTGTCTCACCTGTCCTGTCTGTCTCCTCTGTCTCCTCTCACCTGTCTCACTCTGTCTCACCTGTCTCCTCTGTCTCACCTGTCTCACCTGTCTCCTCTGTCTCACCTGTCTCACCTGTCTGTCTGTCTCCTCTGTCTCCTCTGTCTCTTCTGTCTCACCTGTCTCACCTGTCTCACCTGTCTGTCTCCTCTGTCTCACCTGTCTCCTCTGTCTCCTCTGTCTCACCTGTCTCACCTGTCTGTCTGTCTCCTCTGTCTCCTCTGTCTCCTCTGTCTCCCCTGTCTCACCTGTCTCACCTGTCTGTCTGTCTCCTCTGTCTCCTCTGTCTCCTCTGTCTCCCCTGTCTCACCTGTCTCACCTGTCTCACCTGTCTCACCTGTCTCACCTGTCTGTCTGTCTCCTCTGTCTCCTCTGTCTCACCTGTCTCCCCTGTCTCCCCTGTCTCACCTGTCTCACCTGTCTCCCCTGTCTCACCTGTCTCCCCTGTCTCCCCTGTCTCACCTGTCTCACCTGTCTCACCTGTCTCACCTGTCTGTCTGTCTCCTCTGTCTCACCTGTCTCACCTGTCTGTCTGTCTGTCTCCTCTGTCTCACCTGTCTCCCCTGTCTCCCCTGTCTCACCTGTCTCACCTGTCTGTCCCCTGTCTCACCTGTCTCCCTGTCTCCCTCTCACCTGTCTCCCTCTGTCTCACCTGTCTCCCTGTCTCACCTGTCTCCCCTGTCTCCCCTGTCTCCCCTGTCTCACCTGTCTCCCCTGTCTCCCTGTCTCACCTGTCTCCCCTGTCTCCCCTGTCTCACCTGTCTCACTGTCTCTGTCTCACCTGTCTCACCTGTCTCACCTGTCTCACCTGTCTCCTCTGTCTCACCTGTCTCACCTGTCTCACCTGTCTCACCTGTCTCACCTGTCTGTCTGTCTCTTCTGTGTGTTTTTTTCAGGTTGGTACAATCGTTTGTTCATAAACTTCCTGTTGAGGAGACATATTTTCTTCTTCATGCTGCAGACGTATTTTCCCACGATGCTCATGGTGGTTCTGTCCTGGGTGTCGTTCTGGATCGACCGCAGAGCCGTGCCCGCCCGCGTCTCACTCGGTAATACTACTACTACTACTTACTACTACTACTACTGCATATACTACTACTACTACACTACTACTACTACTACATATACTACTACTACTACTACTACTACTACTACTACTACTACTACTACTACATATACTACTACTGCTATACTACTACTACTACTACGCACTACTGCATATACTAACTACTTACTACTACTACTACTACTACTACTACTATACTACTACTACTACTACTACTACTACTACTACTACTACTACTACTACTACTACTACTACTGCATATACTACTACTACTACTACTGCATATACTACTACTACTACTACTACTACTACTACTACTACTACTAACTACTACTACTACTACATATACTACTACTACTACTGCATATACTACTACTACTGCATATACTACTACTACTACTGCATATACTACTACTACTACTGCTACATATACTAACTACTACTACATATACTACTACTACTACTACATATACTACTACTACTACTACTACTACTACTACTACTATACTACTACTACTACTACTACTACTACTACTGCTACTACTACTACTACTACTACTACTGCATATACTACTACTACTACTACTATATACTACTACTACTACTATATATACTACTACTACTACTACATATACTACTATATATACTATTACTATATATACTACTACTATATATACTACTACTACTACTACTACTACTACTACTACTACTACATATACTACTACTACTACTACTATACTACTACTACTACTACATATACTACTACTACTACTACTACTACTACTACTATACTACTACTACTACTACTACTACTACTACTACTATACTACTACTACTACATATACTACTACTACTACTATACTACTATACTACTACTACTACACTACTACTACTACTACTACTAACTACTACTACTACATATACTACTACTACTATATACTACTACTACTACATATACTACTACATCTACTACTACTATATGTACTACTACTACTACTACATATACTACTACTATATATACTACTACTACTACATATACTACTACTACATATACTACTACTACATATACTACTACTACATATACTACTACTACTATACTACTACTACTACTATATATATACTACTACTACTATACTACTATATCTACTACTGCTATGTATACTACTACTATATACTCCTACTACATGTACTACTACTATATATACTACTACTACATGTACTACTACTACATATACTACTATTATATATACTGTACTATAATACTATAATAGAATATAAGAGTAATATAAATGTTCTGGATCAACTGCAGAGCCGTGCCCGCACACATCTCACTGGGTAAAACTACTACTATATATACTAATATATATACTCCACTATATATACTGTACTATTACTATACTATAATGTGTATATACTCAGACAAGAGTCAGTACTACAGAATATAAGAGTAATGTACGTGTCCTGGATCAACCGCAGGGACTAGAACTGTTCTAGAACTGTTCTCTTCAAACTCGTGCCCAGGTCCATCTGATTATTACAAACTTTAAATCTACTTTTCTCTCCTCTGTGGTGTGTTTGATCATTGTGCCTTTTGGCAAGACACTGTTCTGTGTGTTTCACAGGAATCACCACTGTCCTCACCATGTCCACCATCATCACAGGAGTCTCCTCCTCCATGCCTCAGGTCTGTACTGTTATTATTATTATTACTAGTACTACTACCACTACTACTACTACTACTACTACTACTATACTACTACTTACTACTACTATTACTACTACTATTACTACTACTACTACTGTTCTACTACTATTACTACTACTATTACTGTTACTACTACTATTACTACTACTACTACTACTACTACTGTTACTACTACTACTATTACTACTACTACTACTACTACTACTACTACTACTACTGTTACTACTACTATTACTATTACTACTACTACTACTGTTACTACTACTACTACTACTACTACTACTACTGTTACTACTACTACTACTACTACTACTACTACTACTACTGTTACTACTACTATTACTACTACTACTACTACTACTACTACTACTACTACTACTACTACTATTACTACTATACTACTACTACTACTACTACTACTACTACTACTACTACTACTACTTACTACTACTACTACTGTTACTACTACTATTACTACTACTACTACTACTGTTACTACTACTATTGCTACTACTACTACTACTACTACTACTACTGTTACTACTACTACTACTACTACTACTACTACTACTACACTACTACTACTCTTACTACTACTACTACTACTGCTACTGTTACTACTACTATTACTCCACCTCCTCCTCTTCGTCTGACTGTGTTCATGTTGTGTTCATGTTCTTGTTTGTGTTGTGTTCGTGTTTAAGTTTGTGTTCATGTTGTGTCATGTTGTGTTCATGTTCATGTTTGTTTGTTTGTTTTTGTTTGTGTTGTGTTGTGTTCATGTTTGTGTTTGTGTTTGTTTGTGTTCATGTTGTGTTCATGTTGTGTTCATGTTCATGTTCATGTGTGTTGTGTTCATGTGTTTGTTGTTTGTTTCATGTTCATGTTGTTCATGTTGTGTTTGTGTTTGTGTTGTGTTCATGTTTGTGTTCATGTTTGTTTGTTTGTGTTCATGTTCATGTTCATGTTTGTGTTCATGTTGTGTTCATGTTCATGTTTGTGTTTCATGTTTGTGTTCATGTTCATGTTCATGTTTGTGTTCATGTTTGTGTTCATGTTGTGTGTTGTGTTCATGTTCATGTTTGTGTTGTGTTTGTTCATGTTCATGTTCATGTTCATGTTTGTGTTCATGTTCATGTTCATGTTTGTGTTGTGTTCATGTTCATGTTCATGTTCATGTTCATGTTTGTGTTCATGTTCATGTTCATGTTTGTGTTTGTGTTTGTTGTTTGTTCATGTTCATGTTCATGTTTGTTTCAGTTTGTTTGTGTTCATGTTGTGTTCATGTTCATGTTTGTGTGTTGTTTGTTGTGTTGTGTCATGTTCATGTTTGTGTCATGTTCATGTTGTGTTTGTTCATGTTCATGTTGTGTTTGTCATGTTCATGTTCATTTGTTTGTGTTGTGTTCATGTTTGTTTCATGTTCATGTTGTGTTTGTGTTTCATGTTCATGTTTGTGTTGTGTCATGTTCATGTTCATGTTTGTGTTGTGTTGTGTTTGTGTTGTTGTGTTTGTGTTGTGTTCATGTTTGTGTTCATGTTGTGTTCATGTTCATGTTTGTGTTGTGTTCATGTTCATGTTCATGTTGTGTTCATGTTCATGTTCATGTTTGTGTTGTGTTCATGTTCATGTTCATGTTGTGTTCATGTTCATGTTTGTGTTTGTGTTTTTCAGGTGTCGTATGTAAAAGCTGTGGACATTTACCTGTGGGTGAGTTTCCTCTTCGTCTTCCTCTCTGTGATCGAATACGCCGCCGTCAACTACTGCACCACCCTGGAGGAGTGGAGGAAGATGAGGAGGGGCAAGGTACTTCAAGAATACTTTTACTTTTATACATCTACTGCTACACCTGCTGCTAGTGCAAATACTGTAACTTATTTTACTACTATTACTACCAGTAATACTGTTACTTCTGCAACTACAAGTACTTGAAATATTATAATACAACTGATGCAGCAATCAGTAAAAATGAAATATGACACAAGTACTACTGACAACAACTACTACTACTACTACTACTACTACACAACGTCTCCCTCTAGTGGACACGTCCTGTAAACACACATTCTGCTGTTGGGAGTTTTTCATTTTCTGGTGCTTTTGTCAGTCATTGGAAATATATAAATATATATTATTTATATTTATATAAAGTGCATTCAGTTCAAACGAATGCACTTTATATAAATATAAATAGGAAATAAAGAAGGAAATAAAGTGTTTGTCTAAAATCTTTGACAAATAATCATTATTGTGTGAATTATTCAAACTTTGGTCCATGTTTTCTGTAAAATCTTTATTATCACTTTGTTTACTACACTCCATCTCCTCTTCCTCTCCTCTCTTCCTCTTCTCTCTCTCTAATCTTCTGTCTTTCCCTCCTCTAACCTGTTTCTCTCCTCTCTCCTCCCTTTCTCTTCTCTCTCTTTCTCTCCTCCGACCCCCTTTCCTCTTCTCTCCCTCCTCTTACCTCTTCCTCTTCTCTCTCTCCTCTTCCTCTTCTCACCTCTCTTCTCTCTTCTCTCTTCCTCCTCTCTCTCTCTCGCCTCTTCCTCTTCTCTCTCTCTCTCCTCTTACCTCTTCCTTTCTCTCTCCTCTCTCCTCTTCTCTTACCTCTTCCTCTTCTTTCTCTCTCTTCTTACCTCTTACTCTTCTCTCTCTCTCTTCCTCTTCCTCTCTCTCCCTCTTCCTCTTCTCTCCTCTTCCCTCTTCCTCGTCCTCTTCCTCTTCCTTTCTCTCCTCTCTCTTCTTCCTCTCCTCCTCTTCCCTCTCTCTCTTACCTCTTCCTCTTCTCTCTCTCCTCTTACCTCTTCCTCTCTCTCTCCCTTCCTCTTCCTCTTCCTCTTCTCTCCCTCTCTTACCTCTCTTCTCTTCTCCTCTCCCTTCTTACCTCTTCTCTCTCCTCTTCTTCTCTTCTCTTCTCTCTCCTCTTACCTCTTCCTCTTCTCTCCCTCCTCTTACCTCTTCCTCTTCTCTCTCTCCTCTTACCTCTTCCTCTTCTCTCCCTCCTCTTACCTCTTCCTCTTCTTTCTCTCCTCTTACCTCTTCCTCTTCTCTTCTCTCCTCTTACCTCTTCCTCTTCTCTCTCTCCTCTTACCTCTTCCTCTTCTTCTCTCCCTCCTCTTCCTCTTTCTCTCTCTCCTCTCTCTCTCCTCTTACCTCTTCCTCTTCTCTCCCTCCTCTTACCTCTTCCTCTTCTCTCCCTCTCCTCTTCCCTCTTCCTCTCCTCTTCCTCTTCTCTCTCTCCTCTTACCTCTCCCTCCTCCTCCATTCCTCTTCTCTCTCTTTCTATCTCTCCTCATATCTCTCTCTCTTTCTCTCCTCCTCCCTCTCTGCCTCTCTTCCTCTTCTTCTCTCCTTCAGTTACCTTCTGGTTATGATGCGAGTCAGGCGATGGCGTTCGACGGCTGTTTCCACGACGACGACATGGAGTTGACCGCGTTTCCCAGACTCCCCGTGGGTTTGACCTCCGACCCCCTGGCCCCCCTGGATCCTCTGAACCCTCTGGACCCTCTGGACCCTCTGGACCCTCTGGACCCTCTGGACCCTCTGGACCCTCTGGACCGGCTGTCGTCGTCGGGGGCCCACAGTCCGGTGGTGCGTGGGGCGTCGGAGGGGACGCGGCTCCGGAGGCAGCGCTCGGTGAAGGAGAACGTGGATCTGATCGTCAGTAACAGTTACCTGATCGACTCGTACTCCAGACTGGCCTTTCCTCTGTCCTACCTGCTCTTCAACATCGTCTACTGGAGCCTCTACTCCTGAAACGCAGAGCAAATCCAGAAACTCAATACTGAAACACAGAGCAAATCCAGAAACTGATCCAAACTAGATACTCCTGAAACACAGAGCAAATCCAGAAACTCAATACTGAAACACAGAGCGAATCTAGAAACTCGATACTGAAACACAGAGCAAATCCAGAAACTCAATACTGAAACACAGAGCAAATCCAGAAACTCAATACTGAAACACAGAGCAAATCCAGAAACTCAATACTGAAACACAGAGCAAATCCAGAAACTCAATACTGAAACACAGAGCGAATCTAGAAACTCGATACTGAAACACAGAGCAAATCCAGAAACTGATCCAAACCAGATACTCCTGAAACACAGAGCAAATCCGGAAACTCGATACTGAAACACAGAGCGAATCCAGAAACTGATCCAAACCAAAACCGGGATCCAAACCAGATACTCCTGAGATGCGACAGATATCCAGAAACTCAATACAAAAACCAGGATCAAACTAGATACTCCTGAAATGCTCAGAAAATCAAGAAACTGATCCAAACCAGATACTCCTGAAATGCGACGGAAATCCCGAAACTGAACCAAACCAAAACCAGGATCGAATCTAGATACTCCTGTTTCAGAAATATTCATACCAAAAAAGTCACAAAACTGACAAAACTGAAGCTGAACGTGTTTAGAACCTGGAGCTGAAACAGAACAAATACAAGAGCACAGAGACCATGGACCTGCACGGTTCAGACCTGGTTTAGACCTGGTTTAGTTTATTCCTGGTTTAGACCTTGTTTAGTCTTGTTCTAGACCTGGTTTAGACCTGGTTTAGATTTGTTTAGACCTGGTTTAGACCTGATTTAGACCTGGTTTAGTTTATTCCTGGTTTAGACCTTGTTTAGTCTTGTTCTAGACCTGGTTTAGACCTGGTTTAGACTGGTTTAGATCTGGTTTAGACCTGATTTAGTTTATTCATGGTTTAGCCCTGGTTTAGGCCTGGTTTAGTCTTGGTCCAGACCTGCTTTAGATGTGGTTTAGACCTGGTTTAGTTTAGTCCGGGTTTAGTCCTGGTTCTGACCTGGTTTGGACCTGGTTTAGTTTAGTCCGGGTTTAGTCCTGGTTCTGACCTGGTTTGGACCTGGTTTAGTTTATTCCTGGTTTAGGCCTTGTTTAGTCTTGGTCTAGATCTGGGTTAGATGTGGTTTGGACCTGGTTTAGTCCTGGTTTAGACCTGGTTTAGTTTATTTATGGTTTAGACCTGATTTACACCTGGCTAAGACCTGGTTTAGACCTGGTTTCATTTAGTCCTGGTTCAGACCTGGTTATAAACCCACATGGGAACAGAAAATAAAGTTATATCATTTAATGTTAAAAAATCACTTTCTGTCGTCTAAATAAAGAGTTTTATTTTTATTTTTATTTTTATTTTCATCGTCGTTTCAGAATCAGTTTTGAGCGTCAAGTCTTTTCCTTTGTATCAAAATCGAGTTTGTGCAAAAAGTTCAAAAGTTTTTCATAAATGAGAGGAGGCGGGTCAAAAGTCTCCAGTGAACCTGCAGACGTGGGTTTGTGTCAGATGCCCTCCCAGACGTGGAGAAAGGACCAAACGATCAGAGGAAACGTTTGTGGATTTGACTTTTGGAGATTTGTTATATTGGACACAGAAAACTGAACTGATCCATGAACTTTTAAAGATATTTGTGTTTTTTTGTTTTTGTTTTTCTGTCTGTTGGTGTGTCCTGGTTGTGGGTTCGACTCCTCGTCCTGTTCCTCGTGTCGGATCAAGTGTTTTCTTTCACTTTTTCTTGTGTCGCTGTTGTTGCTCTTCACGATGTCGACGACGGTTTCTCTTTCGGAACGTGGCTTCGTTTCAAATCTTACGTGTCATTTTTGTGTCAGATTAGTGGATGAAAGAATAAAAACTGAGCACGTTGTCCAGAGTTTTGTTCTAAAATATTTTCACCATCATCACTTCAAAAACTGGACTATGGAGTCAACCTGAACCTAATAAACCTAGACCTGGACTAGACCTGGACTAGACCTGGACTAGACCTGGACTAGACTTGGACTAGACTGGACTAGACTGGACTAGACTTGGACTAGACCTGGACTAGACCTGGACTAGACCTGGACTAGACTTGGACTAGACCTGGACTAGACCTGGACTAGACCTGGACTAGACTTGGACTAGACCTGGACTAGACTTCTGGACTAGACCTGGACTAGACCTGGACTAGACTTGGACTAGACCTGGACTAGACCTGGACTAGACTTGGACTAGACCTGGACTAGACCTGGACTAGACTGGACTAGACTAGACCTGGACTAGACCTGGACTAGACCTGGACTAGACTGGACTAGACTGGACTACCTGACTAGACTGACTACCTGACTAGACTGACTGGACTAGACTGGACTAGACTGGACTAACCTGGACTAGACTGGACTAGACCTGGACTAGACTGACTAGACCTGGACTAGACCTGGACTAGACTGGACTGACTGGACTAGACCTGGACTAGACTGGACTAGAACTGGACTAGACTGGACTAGACCTGGACTAGACTGGACTGGACTAGACCTGGACTAGACCTGGACTAGACCTGGACTAGACTTGGACTAGACCTGGACTAGACCTGGACTAGACCTGGACTAGACTGGACTGGACTGGAGACCTGGACTAGACCTGGACTAGACTGGACTAGACTACTAGACCTGGACTAGACCTGGACTAGACCTGGACTAGACTACTAGACCTGGACTAGACCTTGGACTAGACTGGACTGACTGACTAGACCTGACTAGACTACTAGACCTGGACTAGACTGGACTAGGACTAGACTGGACTAGACTTGGACTGGACTAGACCTGACTAGACTTGGACTAGACTGACTAGACCTGGACTAGGACTAGACCTGGACTAGACCTGACTAGGACTAGACTTGGACTAGACCTGGACTAGACCTGGACTAGACCTGGACTAGACTTGGACTAGACCTGACTAGACTGGACTAGACCTGGACTAGACTGGACTAGACCTGGACTAGACTGGACTAGACCTGACTGGACTAGACCTACAGACCTGGACTAGACTAGACTGACTAGACTGGACTGGACTGACTAGACCTGGACTAGACCTGGACTAGACTTGGACTAGACCTGGACTAGACCTGGACTAGACCTGGACTAGACCAAGACCAAACCAGGTCAGGACTAAATCTCAGATCCTGAACACACCTTTAGACAAAGACACATTATAAATAATTAAATAAACACTTTATAATTAACTACACCAAATGAACTGGATTATTACATTATAAACACTTTATAAATACATTATTACACTATAAGCACTAGCAAAAGTGTTCTTCTGGCTCCTTCTGGCTCCTCTTGTTTTCTCCTGGTTCCTCCTGGCTTCTCCTGGCTCCTTCTGGCTTTTTGTGGCTCCTCCCAGCTCCTTGTATCTTCTCCTGGCTCCTCCTGGCTCCTCTTAACTCCGCTTCTCCTAGCTCCTCCTGGCTTCTCCTAACTCCTCTTAGCTTCTCCTGGCTCCTCCTGGCTCCTGGCTCCTGGCTCCTCCTAGCTCCTCCTGGCTCCTCCTAACTCCTCCTGGCTCCTCCTAGCTCCTCCTGGCTTCTCCTGGCTCCTTCTGGCTCCTCCTGGCTCCTTCTGGCTTTTCATGGCTCCTCCTAGCTCATTGTGGCTACTCCTGGCTCCTCCTGGTTTCTTCTAGCTCCTCCTGGCTCCTTCTGGCTCCTCCTGGTTCCTTCTGGCTCCTCCTAGCTCCTCCTAGCTCCTCCTGGCTCCTTCTGGCTCCTCCTAGCTCCTCCTGGCTCCTTCTGGCTCCTCCTGGCTCCTCCTGGTTTCTCCTGGCTCCTCCTGGTTCCTTCTGGCTCCTCCTAGCTCCTCCTGGCTCCTTCTGGCTCCTCCTGGCTCCTCCTGGCTTCTCCTGGCTCCTCCTGGCTTCTTCTGGCTCCTCCTAGCTCCTCCTGGCTCCTTCTGGCTCCTCCTCCTGGCTCCTCTCCTGGCTCCTCCTGGCTTCCTTCCTGGCTCCTCCTGGCTCCTCCTCTGGCTCCTCCTCCTCCTGGCTCCTCCTCCTAGCTCCTCCTAGCTCCTCCTGGCTCCTTCTGGCTCCTCCTTCTGGCTCCTCCTGGTTCCTTCTGGGCTTTTGGCTCCTCCTGGCTCCTCCTAGCTCCTCCTAGCTCCTCCTGGCTCCTTCTGGCTCCTTCTGGCTCCTCCTGGTTCCTTCTGGCTTTTCGTGACTCCTCCTAGCTCCTTGTATCGTCTCCTGGCTCCTCTTGGCTTCTTGGCTTTAAATATTCACACTCTTAGTTCAGTTCGCTGTTGTATTTTACTGATGTCTTTTGTGAGCTACTCAACTTAGTCAATTTTCATATTTTTTTGATTTTTTCCCAGTGTGACCAGATTTTCTACATTCTAAACTGGGACACACTCGGGTTTGGATGTTGTGAATAAATAAAACAGTGAAAATAGTGTGTAACATTTTGCCTTCTCATGTCAGTTGTGATCTGAGGAACTTCTGACGCTGCATTTTTTTTTTTTTTTTTTTTGAGTCATGGTGATTCGCAAACACAAACTTCTGTATTTTGGCAAAACAAATGACAGTTTATGCTCCTCTTCACTTTTGGCAGGGAATAGATTAGTCAAAAAATGTGATGGTATGAAAAGCGCTCTAATAATAATAATAATAATAATAATAATAATAATAATAATAATAAAAAGTTTGTTGTTGTTGTTGTTGTTGTATAGTCCTGTTTTAGTTCTGGTTTAGACCTGATGTAGTCCTGGTTTAGTCTTGGTGTAGAGCTGGTTTAGATCAAATTGGTGACACAACTTGGACATTTCTTGTGTAAAACTGTGACAAATCAGTGGTTTTGTACAAATCTGCGAAGATAAAGGACTCAAAACTGATCTGGTCACTTTAAACTAAAACTCATGAAGACTTTCTGTATTTTTCTACTTTTATTCGTCTTCAAACTGCCACTTATTTATTTATTT